AAATAATAAATGCTGGAGAGGTTGTGGAGAGACTGGAACACTTATACACTGTTGGTGGGAATGTAAAATGGTATAATCACTTTGGAAATCAATGTGGCATTTCCTTAAAAAGCTAGAAATAAAAGTACCATACGATCCAGCAATCCCGCTCCTTGGAATATATCCTAGAGAAATAAGAGCCATCACATGAACAGATATATGCATACCTATGTTCATTGCAGCACTGTTTATGATAGCAAAAAGATAGAAACAACCTAGGTGCCCATCAATGGACGAATGGATAAACAAGTTATGGTATATTCACACAATGGAATACTACACAACAATAAAGAACAATGATGAATCTGTGAATCATCTCATAACATGGAGGAATCTGGAAGGCATTATGCTAAGTGAATTTAGTCAGTCACAGAAGGACAATAATTGTATAAGACCACTATTATAAGAACTCAAGAAAAGGTTTAAACACAGAAGAAAGCATTCTTTGATGGTTACGAGGGTGGGGATGGAGAGAAGGGGTATTCACTAGCTAGACAGTGGACAAGAATCAGATGAAGGCAAGGACAACACACACTACAGGGGAAGTCAGCACCACTGGACTAAACCAAAGCTAAGAAGTTTCCTGAATACAACCAAACACTTCAAAGGACAGAGTAGCAGGGGCAGGGGTCTGGGGACCATGGTTTCAGGGGACTTCTAGGTCAATTGGCATAACAAAGCTTATTAAGAAAATGTTCTGCATCCCACTGTGGTGAGTGATGTCTGGGGTCTTAAAAGCTAGAGAGTGGCCACCTAAGATGCATCAGTTGGTCCCAACCCACCTGGAGTAAAGGAGAATGAAGAACACCAAAGACACAAGGAAAATATTAGCCCAAGAGTCATAAAGGATCACATAAACCAGAGACTTCATCAGCCTGAGACCAGAAGAAGTAGATGGTGCCCAGCTACCACCAAGGACCGCTCTGACAGGGAACTCAACATAGAGTCCCTGACAGAGCAAGAGAAAAGTGGGGTGCAGAACTAAAATTCTAGTAAAAAGACCAGACTTAATGGTTTGATTGAGACTAGAGGGACCCCAGAAGACATGGCCCCCGGACTCTCTGTTAAGCTCAAAACTAAAACCATTCCCTGAGGCCAGCTCTTCAGACAAAGATTAGACTCGACTATGGGACATAAAATGATACTCGTGAAGCGTGTGCTTCTTAGCTCAAATAGATACATGAGACTAAATGGGCAGCTTCTATCTGGAGGCGAGATGAGAAGGCAGAGAGGGTCAGGAGCTGCTTAAATGGACACGGAAATCAGGAGTGGAAAGGAGGAGTGCGCTGTCACAGTATAGGGAGACCAGCTGGGGTCACATAGCGGTTTATGTATAAATTTTTGTATGAAAGACTAACTTGAACTGTAAACTTTCACTTAAAGCGTAACAATTAAAAAAAAAAAAAAAAGAAAGAAAGGATGATGGGCACAAGAGAAGATGGGGTGAATAAAAGGCTTTCAGCCACGTAAATCGGTCCTGAGCTGAGAAGGCAAGGGAACAGCTGCACCTCTGGGTGGGCCATTGTTCTTCCCAGGCCAACCTTATCCTCTCCTACTCCTAGGGCTGAGGCTTCCAACTAGAGATTGCCCCTCATAAACATGGCCGCTCCCAGCTGGCCGCGCCCCTCAATATCCCCGGTGGCCAATGAGGGGGAACCACGAGTATTTGCACATGCGTGGTGCGACGTAGTGGGCACGTCCAGTGATGACAGGAGGTTTCCGGCAAGTAACATGACTAAAAAGAAGCGGGATAATCTCGGCGTCGCTCTAGAGGTGAGGGGGAAGCGGGGTTGAGCCAGATCATTAGTCGTCTTCATCGTTCTTCTGAGGGATAGTCGGTAGGTCACCCGCAGGTTGGAGGAGGGCTCAAGGGGAGGAAGTGAAGGCGACGCGGGATTGGGAGAGGGAAGCGACGGGTGAGAGGGCCGGAAGGGGTATCCGGAGGTGAGGGGGACGGAGGCATCAGAGGTGAGGGAGCCTCCAGAGGGGAAGAGACTTCGAGGTGAAGGGAAGCCCCAAAGGGGGAGGGACACAGAGGTGATGGAGTTCCGTGGGGGACACAAAAATAAGGAGGATCTGAGTGGGGACATGAAAATTAAGAGTACCAAAAGGGGCGGGGCTCAGGTGAGGGGGACCCCAAAAGTAAGTGAGCCCATGCTGTTTAGTATGTTACTAGCTGGCAATTCGAACCCACCCTGGGGTGCCTGGAAGACAGACCTGGCGATCTGCTTCCGAAAGATCACAGCCTTGAAAACCCTATGGAGCAGTTCTACTCCACTCGCATGGGGTCCCCCATGAGTTGGAATCAACTCGTAGGTAACTCACAACAACAGTGGCTTAAATATCACTTGAAATAAGAAGTTTTTCCTCTAGTGGGACTGAAGCATGTAGCTTGAAATTTACTTTGGAAACCTTTTGGAACTTGTAAAGAATTCTGGGATGGTGATGTTATCAAAGAGCTTAAAAGAAAACTGTTGCGTATTGAGGAACTACTTTCACTTGCGTTCTTAGTTAATCCTTACTACAAACCTGTGAGGTGGAGAGATGTGACTCCCACTTTTACAAATGAGGAAACTGAGGTCCCAATGGAGCCCAGGGTGAAGCAGTGGAGCTGGCAGAGCTGAGAATCCAGCGTAGACAATCTGCCTGGCAGTGCATCTTTTTTCCACCACGTTACAGTTCCCTTAGAGCACCCTCCTAGAGATTGCAAGAGGAACACATAAAAATCATGCTACTGTCTTCTTGGAAGGAGCCCCGGTGGCACAACAGTTAAATGCTCAGCTGCTAACCAAAAGGTTTGCGTGTTCGAACCCACCTAGCGGCTCCTCGGGAGAAGGACCTGGTGATCTGCTTCTGTAAAGATTCCAGCCAAGAAAACGTTATGGGGCAGTTCTACTCTGTTATGTGGGGTCGCTATGAGTTGGACTCAACTTGACTACACCCAGCAACACCTGTCTTCTTCAGGCTTGCTGCTGCTGCTTGAGGCTTACTACTCAAGTGGTTCTCAAACTTAAGAGTGCATAAGAATCATTTGTGGCACTCGTTAAGAATAGAGTTGAACCTCCCCTCCCGCTCTGACATTTGGTAGAATTTGGGTGTGCATTTCTAACAAGCCGCACACTCCCATACAGGTGGTTTAGTACCACCCCTTGAGAGATATTCGTGTCCTTGGTGGAAGAAAAGGTTGATAGAAATGTGATTCTCCTTCTAAAATGGATGGAATAATGAGATGGCACTACATAGTGGGAGCATAAACTTTATAACCTGTATTAGGGTAGGATAAAGAGTCCCTGGGTGGTGCAAACGGTGAAGTGCTCAGCTACTGACCAAAAGATTGGTGATTTGAATCCACCCAGAGGTGCCTCAGAAGAAAGGTCTGACAATCTACTTCTGAAAGATCACAGCCATTGAAAACCCTGTGGAGCACCGTTCTCCTCTGAAACACATGGGCTCACTATAAGTCACAATCAACTCCACGGCAACTGGTCTTTTTTTTTTTTTTTGAGCTGCCATAGAGCATTGAAGGTCCCTGGGTGCTGCAAGTGATTTGCAGTCGGCTGCTAACCTAAAGGTTGGTGGTTCAAACCCAGCTGTGCTTCAGAAGAAAGGCCTGGTGATCTTCCATAAAGATTACAGTCAAGAAAATCCTCTGGAGCAATTCTACTCTGTAACACATGGGGTCACCATGAGTCGGAATTAACTTGACGGCAATGTTTTTTTTTTTTGTTTGTTTTTTTAAATAAGGGCATGAGTGGTTCAGTGGTAGAATTCTTGTCTTCCGTATGGGAGACTCAGGTTCAATTCCTGGCCAGTGCACGTCATGAACAGTCACCACCCATCTGTCAGTGGAACTTGTTCCACAACCAGTCATGGGGATGGCACAGGACTGGAGAGAATTTTGTTCCATTGTACATGGAGTCGCCATGAGTCAGGGCTGACTCGATGGCAGCTAACAACAAGATGCCAGAATTTGGTGGCTTCCAGAACAAAGAAGGTTATTTCTTTCTAACAGTCCAGAGCAAAGGTCGATAAACTTTGTAAAGGGCCAGACAGTAAATATTTCAGCCTTGCAGGCATATGATCTCTGTTGCAACTACTCAGGCCATCTTAGCACAAAAGCAGCCATAGACAATATGTAAGTAAATGGGTGTGGCTGTGTTCTAATAAAACTTTATTTACAAAAAACAGGCGGTGGAATGGATTTGGCTAGCAGACTGTAGTGTGCCCACCCCTGGTCTAGAGTGCCAGGACACTGGTGGCTTTGCCAGGTTCCTTTCATCTTGTGGCTCTGCCATCCCTCAGGGCCTTGTTATCACCTGCATGACTGAAACCAGGTCACACCCCATAGATGTGTCCACTGGCATGGCAAGAGAGAGAGTGGAGAAGCATACGCACTGTCTTAAGGACCCTGGGCCAGGAGTCCACACTTTCCATTGGCAGGAACTAAGACTTGTGGCCTCACCTGACTACAAGGAGGGCTGGGAAATGCATTCATCAGCTAGGAGGCCATGTACCCAGCTACAGCTCGATTACTGTGGAAGAAGGGGCTAGTGTGTTTTAGGGGACAGCCAGCAGTCTCCACCACAGGTCCCAACCTACCTCACACTGTGGTTGTGAGGATTAAATAAGTATGTGTACAGTGCCTGGCACGTGCTCAGCACATTGTGGGTAATCAATAAATGGTAGTTCCTTCTTATTAGTAACCAGTTGCCATGGTGACCCCATGTGTGTCAGAATAGAACCATGCTCTATAGGGTTTTCAATGGCTGCTTTTTTGGAAGTAGATTGCCAGGCCTTTTTTCCACAGTACCTCTGGGTGGACTCAAACCTCCAATCTTTTGATTAGCAGTGAAACACTTAACCATTTGCCTGTGTAATTCATTTGCATCCTTCTACTGTGGCTTAATCAACCCTCTTGTCTGGGCTTTTGTTTTCTCATCTGTAACATGAAGGACTTGAAAGTTATCAAGGGTTACAAACTCACTGCCTATTGTCCTAATACAAATCACAGATGCCTTTTGTTTGGCTGACACTTTTTTTTAAAGTGTTTTGAATTTGGAGGAGTCCCTGAGTGGTGCAAACATGCTCAGCTGCTAACCGAAAGGTTGGGGGTTTACTTCATCCAGAGGCGCCTCAGAAGAAAAGCTTGGTGATCTACCTCTGAAAATCAGCCATTGAAAACCCTATGGAGCATAGTCAACTCTGACACACATGGGGTCATTGGAGTTGGAGTTGACAGCAACTGTTTTGTTTTTTAATTTGGAAGGGTATGTACTCTCCTAGTGCCTTACACAGGTCAGGTTCACCTGGTGCGTTACCCTGTATATGCCTATCTAGAGCTTTACATTTGCCATCTTGGTCTCTAGCATTACTTTTTGTTTGGATAGTCTTGGGTTTGAGATCTATAACTGTGTGTGTTCCTTAGAAAAAGACTGGCATCTGGCGTCTTCCCACCTTGCTTCTCCATCGCCCCCAGCGGGTCTGAGTATTGAATGTGTGCTGCCGCTCAGTAGCAGTAGATATTGTCCTCTTATTAAAAGTCATGTGCTCAGAGCCAATGAAGTGGTGATTTAATCAAAAATGTTTGTTAATCTGATGAGTGCAATAAAAACCCCGCAAGTGAGTGATCTCAGCACCTGTGCAGTCTCCGTTTGTAATAAAGCACTTACCGAGCAGACGGCACTCACCCTGCTGGGCCGGCTCGGGCCAGCTGTACTGGGCAGTCACCTCCCGGGACAACCAAGGCACCTTTAGGACCCTCTCCCCAACTCATGGCTCTTCTCAAGGCCTTTTTATCCAACTCATTTGGTAACTTCTGAGATCTCAGAGTTGGAAAAATGGCTGAGTTTTAGCTTCTGAGAGTTTATTCTGAATAACAAGAGAGAATTATAGTCAGGTGAGAAAATGCCAGCCCTGGTACTGATTTTAATGCCATGTGGGAGGAGGGAGAGGTTGTATCTCGGTCTAAACTGATAGGAAGATTCTGGCTGATGTAAAACCTATTTATATTTTAAAATCTCTGACAGTAATGAACTTTTACTTGGTCATTGCACTTTTCTTTCATAGCTAGACCGGTAAACCTGTGTGTCTTTAGGTATTGCAACAGCCAGCTGGTCTTAAGTTAACAGATATGAAGTATCTTAGCTGATATCTTGAAGGGGAAAACTTGGTTGGATCTGGTCCCTAGTACAAAAAATCTATCTGTTTGGAAAGCTTTAAGCTACAGGTACAGAAAACTTACCCCAGTGATTTTTTTTCTCATAACAAGAAATTTGGAGGTGGGTGGCTACCGGATTGGTTCAACAGCTCAGCTATGTCAGGGCAGGTATTTCTACATTCTTAGCCATTCCCTCACAGTCACAAGATGGCTGCTACAGCTCCAGTCATCATATCTAACATTAAGGCAGGAAGAAGGGGAAAGGAACAGCAAAACTGTTGGCCCCTTGTATCAGGAAAGCAAAAGCCTTCCTAGGAGTCTCCCTCTTGACTTCTAGAACATCTCATTGGCCAGAGGAGAAGGGGTTGGGAATCAATGTTGGCTTGGCCAACCAACAGTATCTGCTATAAGGAAAAAAAAGCTAAAGGAAGTTGTTTAAAATTCACTGGAACCCTTGCCAGAAAAAGAGGCCAGGGTCAGTGATGACTAGGGAGAGGTAGTAAGTTGAGGGGAGAAAATGGACTAGGCCAGGATGAGCACCAGGAGGAAAGGGGACTGGACACTTATAGTTATTTCAGCCACTAGACTGTCAGCTCCATGAGGGCAGGGAGGGGCA